TCCATCCATCCATCCATCCATCCATCCATCCATCCATCCATCCATCCATCCATCCATCATGCATCCATCCATCCATCATCCTTCCTTTTATCAATCCATCTATATATCCTTCTTCCTTCCTTCCATCCATCCATCCATCCATCTTTCTTCCATCCATCCATCCATCCATCATCCATCCATCAGTGCATCCATCCGTCATCCATCCATCCATCTATCCATCATCCATCCATCAGTGCATCTATCCGTCATCCATCCATCCATCCTTCCGTTTATCAATCCATCTATCCATCCCTCTTTCTTCCATCCATCCATCCATCCATCCATCATCCATCCATCCGTGCATCCTTCCGTCATCCATCCATCCATCCATCCATTATCCATCTATCATCCATCCATCCATCCATCCATTTATTCATCCATCTATCCATCCCTCTTCCTTCCATCCATCATCCATCCATTCATTCATCGGTCCGTCCATCCATCCATCCATCCCTCGTGGCGTGATATTTTTAGATAGTTAGAGGAAGCATCTGGAGGGAACCAAGGCATGTGATTGTAGAAGACAGGAAAACAGCAAAACAGACAACCCAAAACAAATCCATCATTTCTGTTCACTCCACTTAGTCAAAAAATAATGAACAAGGATAATTGCACAAACAAAAGCGCCAACACGTTTAGGGAATGCATCAGTAGGACTTACCATAATTGGGACAGCGGTCGACTACCTCATCAGAACTGTTGACCAGTTCAAAGTCTTCCCGATCATCACTCTCTCTTATAGTAAAATCATCAATGCGATTTTCAGACCGGAGGTCCCAGCTGGAGTGGTTTCCATAGCTTAGGTAGATCCCTTTATCCAAGACAGCATCAAACAGTCGGAAGGGGTACTTTAACAAGGAAAATCCTAAAGGCCACGTACCAGTCACTGTACGATTTGCCCCGAGTCTCCTCCCATTCTGAGGAAAAGACGGGAAGCATTAAGGCAAGGTCTTCCAAGGGTTCACATCTCTGTGTAACATTGAGACACTTACCCCATCTTTTTCATATGAGAAGTACCAGGTGTATGGGGTGTCATTAGTTAGTTTAATGGTGATGCCCATTTTTCAACTGTGGAAAAAGATAGATGAATTTATTAGAAGGAAGAATTAAATGTTCCTCTTTTGAAACTTCTGGCCTCATTTAAGCAAAGCATTTATTTTCTGGAGTTCAGAGTATTGCGCAGCTTTGTTTTTGATTGATTTGTATTAAGATGATAATTCAACAATAATCCAATAATCTGGACTCCAGTTATACATTAACAAAGGGAATTTCAGGGAATCTCTATCAGGCCATGGATCATTAACATCATCCAAAGCCGTCCTGCATCAGCACCTTCAGGAGCAGTTCAGCTCATCTTGTTCTTGGTGTAGTACCAGAATTGTTTACCTAACTACCTGGAACTGGACTAGGTCACACAAACTCTTGGGTTACATTTACACTGCCGACATTTATCCTCAATTCCAGATTCCTTTGCTTGGTTGTATGTGATCTCCTGTGTGAACTACATTCATACAATTTTAGTGTGGTGCATATGCAGTAGAGGACGCATTGACGTCACAAGCGGGCGTGCTCTGTGTTTATGGATGGTGGTGCTGGAGCGCATCTTGCAATCTTTAGTTTCTATCCCAGCCTCAGCCAGTGTATTAACAACACAATCTTTTCAAGGAGGTTGAAAATAAAGACTGCTCTCATTGTGTGCTATGGTTGTTGTTTTCTTCCCGCCTCTCCGTAGTCAGTTCAGTCTTATCAAGCCTGACTACACACCAAAGAGAAATGAACCTGGAATAGAACACTTTCCACACAAAGCTTTCAATCTATCAGAACCCAAACTTGCAGTGGAAAAGTCTGGTTCTTCATGCCAACCCCTGGAGGAAAGAGAAAGAAAACGATGACCCAGATTGTGAGGAGAAGACCTACAGCCAAGTTAAGTCCTCTCAGATGATCAATTTCATTATTCTGAACATTAATTTGACATGATTTTGGCGTTTATTGCTGACTTGATTGATCATTTCATTCACTTCCTCTAATTATACTCCTTGGTCCCAGCCATAACTGCCAGAGTATTCTTGAGCCTTTGGTGTAGAGAGTTTTCGAACGTTACTTACAGGATTTTCCTGATCCTGACCTGTTTCTGTATTCGTACTTTTGAACCTCTCTGCCCCTTTTCTGATCTGTTTATCCGGGTCTGATCTCCTGGTATTCCTGCAGACAACTAGACTCCTGCATTTGAAACTCTGGCAGCGTCTGCTGTGTCTTGTCAGCCGACCGACGGGAATCGACCTGGTTCTCTGGGCACGGACTGCACAAACTGTCAAACCAGCTTAGGGAGTCACCCATTAATAATCCTCCTTTATCCATTATTTCCATTATCGTGGTCACTAACCTGTGTTTCTCTCCTATAGACGTTCCTGTGATAGGTGCCCTAGCTGCTGCTTCTGCAGACCTGCGTGTTTTAGATAAACGCTTGAAGTTATTCCACTGTCTGTCTTGCCTGAATTTTTGGTCTTCTGTTCTGATTCCTGACATAATCATGTATCAGCATCAAATGTCACACTGGTGAAACAGAACTACACATGAGAACCTGCAAAATAAAAAGGCCTACGAGAGCAGATACCCAGATCAAAGTGAGTGCAACACCCTCACCTCCAGTGATCAACAGGGTGACTACTACCACAAATCAAAATGTGATTTGTGGGGCGTAAACACTAACTGCTGTAAACATTGACTTCTATCAGGGAGAACCTGGGCAGCTTTGCCTACAATGTAACTTTCCACCATCAGTGTTTGATTGTGCGTGTGAATGGGTGAATGACTCTAGTGTAATGTGCTTTGGTCAAATCTCCTGACATGAAACATTTTACCAATGGTAATTGGTAAAGACCATTACCATTTTAATTTAACCTCCATAATGCTGAGGGCTGGATGATTTGGCTCTGCTGGAAATTGGAGATTCAGCAGGAAACATCTTTTAAGGAATCAACATGGTTTCCTGGGCCATGGTTACTAGTTTAGAAGGATTAGACCACTTTTCGCTGATATTATTTCTGTTTGATAGCTTGGTGAGCAGCTTGTTCATATGCAATTTCATTTTTCTAACCGCTGTTTTCTTGGATGTCCTTGTTAAACTAAGTTTTTCTTCTGCTCTTTTCCTTGTAGTTGTCATGGTAACTATGAAGTAACAGTGATCAGATGATTGATTTAAATACACAATGGCTGTGTCCGAATGTCCGCCCTGACCACTATATAAGGCACTATATAGTGGTTATGCTATTTTAGATGAGTGTCCAAATGTCTAGTAGACTCGAAATTTCCCACAATGCACCTTGAAAAAATGTGATCATCCATGGTCAATAGATAAGCAGATATATCCCGGAATGCTTCATCGGATTTGTTGTCACAGCGGCCCGCTGTCGCCTGCGGCTGTGTGACAAATAACAAAGATGACACAGGCAGTGTGCGGGGAGGCGGAGTTACGTGACGAACGGGGAGCAAAACATATTGATCATCTGTCAAAACGGTCAGTTAACTGAGTTTACTATAAAGTCCACTACATAATTCCCGCTCTATTTAGTGATTGAGGGATTTAGGGGTTCGGGCGGACACTTGGACAGTTGACAATTTAGACAACTTTTATTGTCATTTTGTATACACAGGTTGTATACACAGAGCTGTATATTTGTATACACAGAGCTGTATACAAAATGAAATTTCGTTTTGTACAGCTTTCAGACATAAAGCTATAAACTATAAAGGTAATTTAAAACAGTACACAACTTTAAGTAGTGATATATACTTAAATCTATATATGTCATTAAGTAGGTTACAAACACTAGAGATGAAAACACTTAAGGATGCAGGATTCACCCACTGAGCTCTATTTACTCACTGGATTGTTGATTGCCCATTGGTAGTAAGGGGTGTAGTGAAGCCACTGGCCACCATTTTGGTACTCCCTATTTAGATCATTCAAATATAAACAATATGTGCACTACAGCATCGAACAACAACAATGTTCTCATTTTCAGGGGCTTAAGAGTTTTAAAATAAAGAAAAAACTTTGACAAACACTTTCTGTTTCATAGCATAAGTAACTTAGAACTTTAACTTATAATTAAAAAAAATAGGCACATCACATTGCATAGTCATTATGAAGTCAAGGAAGGTCTCTAAGTCATGTAATATGACATATTATAGAAATCCATCCCAATAAAATGAATGTGTTAATGGAGCAAAATAATACATATGTGCCAAAAGTGCTAACGTGATGATGTATATGTAATATACATGTATTTATTATATTGTTATAGTAATTACATTTGATAATTTGAAACAGCTTACATAATTTTCATGTGTGTATATACACACACACACACAGAGACATTATCTAGTGATTGAATTACTTTATATTAGTGCTGTCAAAATTATCGCGTTATTATCGCGTTAATGCGAGGCCATTGTAATGGCGATAATTTTTTTAACATGAGATTAACTCTATGTGGTTTTATGGTGCAATTTTCCAAGTACATCCCGCTGCAGCCTGCGGGTAGGCAGGGCTATTTTCCTCCAGTCTATGCATTTTCTATTGATTTTGATGTATTGATGGAAAAATGTTCATTATTACCATGGTTAATTAACATCTAATGTTAACTCTACTGCATTTTATAGCAGTAGGGTAAAATGCTTGTCTTTGTTCAAAATACTGTATTAACTGTAAAGACTGTCTTTTACATCAGCCTGTTTT